TTTATATTAAATACTAATGTGTCATCAGCATACAGACTCATAACTTTGTATTAAATACTAATGTGTCATCAGCATAGAGACTCATAACTTTGTATTAAATACTAATGTGTCATCAGCATAGAGACTCATAACTTTATATTAAATACTAATGTGTCATCAGCATACAGACTCATAACTTTATATTAAATACTAATGTGTCATCAATATATAGGACTCATTTGACAGGCGCTCATGACCAAACTCTCGCTAAAAGTGAGCGAGCACCACCGCAGGAGTTTGTCTCACTGTTTCTGCTGATTTAGATCTTGGTAAATGAAATGAGCTCTAAACAATTTTTTTTGTATGACCAAGATTTTAGCAAAAGCGTGTCTTCTTTTAACTTTTTATTTTCCCCCTAAATGTCACAATGTTTTCTGTGGAAGTGTTTGGAACCAAACTGTGACGGATGCTACGTGAGCTGAAATCATTAAAATATGACAAATAAATCCCTTTAGTCCATTCATGGGAGAAATCTGTCAGTCGGGCAAATAAAAAATGACATTTCATGCTGTGTAAAGGGCTACTTGTGCTTTATATTTGAATACAAATCAGCTTTTTGAATATAGCAGTTGTATGAATATTAATGATCCTTTTAGTGTTCAGCTCAGGAGTTGTATCACCGTAATCACTTCACAATTTGTGTTTGAAAATTCTAATTTATGGAGGCTCTTGAAGTGCTTGAACATTATAACTAGAGCCCCTACTGATATGGAAATGTTGGCTGTCATCAATACCAATATTGGGCGGGGCTAATGCCAATAACCGATATATGGGCTAGAAATGTTTGAGCATTGTCCAGCCCCAAGAATCTAAGTCAACAGCTACTTTTATACCTGTTGAAACAGTCTTCCTAACGTGCGTTCACATTTTCTGTCCTCCATTATTCACCATAAAGTTATCAAGTGTGTTATAAAAATATAAATTAAACAAAGAACCACCTTCCTGTTCAGTGTTTAAACAGTCAGTCACGTATGATGAACGTCTAATTAGTATTGATCGCAGCAGAGTTTATTTTTTCTTTGTAGAGAAGTAAAGATTTCAGACAAACAATGCATTTCATTGAGGATGACAAAGATAACGTTACTAACACTGATATATTTTACCTTTACGTTAGATTTATTGTTCTGGATAAAGTTTTACAAGGCAATAGCCTAAGCTAGGTTATCCAAATGTTAGCTTGCTAACTTGAGAGGCTTGTATCTAATGATGAGCAGGTTGGAGGATTGAAGATAATTTATTATTGATTTGTTTTACAGAGCAGTTTCAATAAATTCTATTCAGCAAAATATCCTACACAGTATTTAGTTGCTCCCTGCTTTGGCTGCGCTGAAAGTGAAACTTAAGTGAAAGGCCATGACTTGAAGTAGTCCTCATGCTCCCTCTGCTGGATGCATTGTACAGTTACGCCTTGTACAAGTAAGACACGGCTCGTTCCCAGTGTTTATCCATCCATCCATCCATTTTCTTTACCCGCTTATTCCATTTTGGGTCATGGGGGTCGCTGGTGCCCATGTCCAGCAATCACTGTGCGAGGGGCGGGGGACACCCTGGACGGGTCGCAAGTCTATCACAGGGACACGTAGAGACAAACAACCATTCACTCTCTCTCACACCTAGGGACAATTTAGAGTTACCAATCAGCCTAACATGCATGTTTTTGGTCTGTGGGAGGAAACCGGAGTACCCGGAGAAAACCCACACATGCACGGAGAGAACATGCAAACTCCACCCAGAAAGGCCCCTGGACCGGGGTTTGAACCAAAGACCTGCTCGCTGAGAGGCAGCAGCTCTACCAGTTGCGCCACCGTGCTGCCCTCCCAGTGTTTATATCGGCACATAATGAGACAATTATCACCGATACGATATGTCCCCAAATGTCTACAACGGACTAAAGGATCGCTCTACCCATAGATCGGTCTGGCTCTAATTAAAACTCCATAAGAACTGTACAATAATACAGGCAAACTAGAATGTAAAAATTAAAAAAATGTTTTTTCATTTATTGAGTTCATTCAGTTATGTGTCAACCCACCAACAACAAATCATTAAAATCCAATTTGTGTATCATTTGGGTTTGAAAGTGTTCTGTTAGAAAACCTAAATAATTCACTGCACTGAAAAAACTCTGCACACCAACTTCTAAGGCTGCTGGGACAAACTGTGTTCCTCATCAGGTTAGCGTTTGGTATTTAGCTGTTGAAATAAGAAACTAAGCCGTGAATTGTTCCGGCAGGAGTACGGAAACAAATTTGAGTAGATCACAAAAAAAACGGACCTGGAATTGACTATGACAAATAAAAGCTCCTTGGTTCATCAGCAGATTCAGGTCAGCGGTCTCCTGAGTCTACCTCTTGGGACTCGAGCCTTTTACGGCCCAGTCAAACGGTTTCAAGAAGTCCTAATGAGCCACCAGTCGCCCCCTTCTTGTGTATTGATCCTGAGTGCTCTGTCATCCACGGTTGACTCGCCTTCTGTCTGCTCAGGTTGTTGGTGTTTGTCCCAGACCAGAGAGCTTCAGCTGTGACCCACAGCTAGCTTTAATACTTTTTTCATTCATCCAACCTTTATGTAGACAAATAAATCACATTGAGCCTCAAAGACTCGTTTACAAGTGAGACCTGTTTAGACGGACAGAAAGTAGTGAAAGTGAACTTGTTTACAGATTTTTTTAATTTAAAGATTTGTTTGACAAATGCTATGCTAAAGAGCTCAAACCAAACCGAGCATCCGCCATTTTCAAAACCGAAAAACAGGAACAAGAGACAGCCCATGTCACGTCAAGGGGCCTCCCTCCCATTTTTCTTAGACACGCTGCTCGCTCCCTCACCATCCGACATTTCCTCTTAAATTTGACAATAATTACTAATTATTGTCAAATTTCAAGCAATATTATCGTTTATCGCAATAATTTCTGAGACAATTAATCGCCCATCAAAATTTGTTATCATGACAGGCCTAGCTCCAGAGCTAATACATATGTTGTTAGCTTCATAGCTAATACATATGTTGTTA